TTTTAAATGCTTGGGAATGTCTAAAAATGAAAGACCCAAAATTTTCTTTCAAAACAAGCTACATAGCAGTGCTGATCAGAATACTTTTGAATTTGATTGATTTTTTAAGCTTCAAAATGTGGTAAAAAGTCGAATTCATTTCAATACAAGCTAGAGGGGGGGGCTCATGTTCAGGGGGGAGGGGGGGGGGCTTATAACCAGATGCACTTTTTTGTTTACAGGTAGGTAGGTTTATAAAATTTAATGGGGGTGCTGATGAGTGGGGCGGGGGCATATAATCGGAAGTTTATGGTATGTATGTTCATGTATATCCAACAGATTCTTGGACGATAATCTAAGAGAGTCTAACATGACAGTATTAAAAGGACTTTTCCTACCTCTAGATGTTTCATTCCCCGACACAACTTTATGACATTCTGTGTTCCATGGAGATTAAGGCACAATGCATCCCTTGAGTGATAAATAATTCGAAAGTTAATCTCAGTGCCAATTGATGAGCTTGGGAACTGGATGTGCTTTTAAAGTTAGCAGGCTAGGGCATAAAATAAACCAGGCATAGCAGGAAGGTATTAATGGTAATCCTGCAAGTGGGAAGCACCCCTACAGCAGCTGCTGCTGGCACCATCACAGTGGAAGAGACTTACCCGACCAGATACTTACCTAACACAGACAGACCCACCTTGGGGAAGAGGAGGGTGGGGCTAAAGGAATCCAAGACCATTTACAAAACATACAACAGATTCACAATGAAAGAAGAAATAACACACTAGAAAATTATGCAATGTATATATTTTGCTTCAATTTTATCTTTGGTTTAATTTTAATTTTTTTTTCGTTTTTGGGTATGGTGATAACGACCAGTGCTCAAAAAAAAACAAACAAAAAACAAAAAAAAACTTGAATTCCAGCACATCCTTTTGGCAAGCAGCTCTCTCATTTTGCTTGCCTGGGGCAGCTACCATGCTTGCTTGTCTTACATGTAAGGTGATTACACGAGACAATTCGCAACTACGATTTTCAGTGCAACACAGTGTTTTGTTGTTGTGACATTGTTTCAAATAGTTACAACATTTTTCCAACATTGTAACACTGTGTTGTGCTAAAAATTGTTGTTACAAATTGTCCTGCATAACATTACCTTTAGGTAATGATTTAGTTAGAGGATGACTTGTCTAGACCTTTGTTCATTGGGCAAGTGAGCCTTAAAGAGTTTACTTGCCTAAGAAGAAAAACTACACATCCTGGACAAACAGACAACGGGATGGGAGTTTTTTCGAGCCCTGATGATAATGATTTTGAAACGAAAAAAATAAAAATTAAACCGAAGATTAAATTGAGCCACAACAAATACACCCTGCCAACCCAAGAGATGCCCCGCAGAGCATGTGCCTGGGAAGAACAGACAGTGATGGCTACCTGTTCCAAGAGGAAAACAAAATGTTATCTGTTTAAAAACATACTTTAATAGATCATTTTTGATATATTAAAATTCACACTTGGCTCTGAGACTTAAGGAAATAAAACAAAAGAAATCGTCTTGAGGCTCAGCAATGGTAATACATTTCCTTTTGTCTTATTCCCCCAAGCCTCAGGAATATTTCGAAAATGGTCTTTTAGCTTGCTTATCTGTTTTTAATTAAAACAGCAACATCTTGTATGTCTGCCCTAGGGCAAATTAGCCGAGTTAAACATATATTTAGAAAAGACATACTTGTTACAATAATTAATTCTCTCGTGTTTAGTAAGTTGTATTACTGCTCGTCCGTCTGGTCGAATACTTATGCCAGCAATATATGCAAACTACAGGGAGTACAGAATTTCGCTGCTCACATAGTTTCTGGGACAAGGAAGTTTGATCACGTATCTCCAGCCCTGAAAGACCTGAGATGGATACCAGTTAAGTCCCACCTGTTTCTAAGAGATGCCATCTTGGCCTTTAAATCTATGACAGGTCAGGTACCAAACTACCTCAGTTCAAATTTTATCTCCAGAGGGAATATCAGTGGTCAGACGACCAGATCATCTTCCCAGCTTAATATACCGCTTTTTAAAACCAAGTCGGGAGAGAGATCTTAGTATTACAGAACTGTAACATTGTGGAATGCGTTAAAACCCTATTTTAAATTAAGTGAATCTCTTATCATTTTCAAACGTAAAATGAAAGCCTTCCTTTCAAATCAATTTTTAATCTCATAAATGTATATGTAAATAGTTTCTTAATAGTTTATTGATAATCAATTTGTGATGTCATAAATTCTATATGCAAATAGTTTTTAATAATAATATTGTTTATTGACAATTCCTGAGTATTTTTTTTTTTGATTACCTGTACTATTAATATTTGTCTCTGAAAAGCCCCCATGGGGAGTTGACAATAAAATTTGTATTGCATTGTATTGTATCTGTTTGGATCCGATCAGTTCAAATGGTTCACGTCGGTCAATAAAGTGCACTTTGTTATGAAGAATTTATTTTAATTTTTTCAATCAGTTGAAGACAACAGACAAAAACACTCACTTCAAATCCTCATCAAATCTAACAGTTGCTGCAGAATGGAAGACCACTTCGACACCTTCTTGCAGCATTTTCCACTCTTCATCAGAAATCCCAAGATTTTCCTCTGCAATGTCTCCTTCAACAGGCACAATTTTTCTTTTCCAGTCATCACCCATTTCTCTTACTCTGTCAAAAACCTGTTTAAAAAGGACATTATTACAAACATAGGGTATGTATTGAAATAGCCGCAAGCCTTAAACCAGGGTTTCCTGAACAGTCAATTTCTAGTCTCAACAAGACGTTTCTGTCCAGACACCAACTTCTAAACAACAGTGAACTTTGATCTCAAGGATTATGCAACTTCATAACAGAATTTATACACTATACAAAAAAATGTAAATTAAATGAGGGGACAAGATTGCAGTGTGCAAAGAAAGTAGTGACTGATAGCCCGGAGCTAATGGATTTTGCTATCGGGCTAGTGAATTTTGCTCTTAACTTGTGTAACCGGCAAGTGAAGGTTTTTGAAGAAGTTAAATTTATTACAGAAGAATTGTGAAACCAATTCTCCTCATCAAAAAGTTTTTGAGGCTGGTTGAAATGACATTTGGGCTAATAAACACCAGCTTAGGCTTGCCAGAAGGGCAAGCTGTAAAACTGACTTTGTTTGCACTGTGAGATTGACACGATTGAATTTTCTTCTCCTATTATAGCCGCAGGTCAAAACTTTGTTTCCATCATTGCTATCTGCTTTGACTTCTCAACATAACAAATAATTCATGTTGAAAAATAAAGGATAGAGTGTTCGGATATTAGATACCAATAATATTACAATAAACATTTTGCAAATTTCAGCTTTGAATTTCTTCAAGAATATATTATAACAGTCATGCTCATTTGTGAGGCCACATCCAACACTTTCTTCAGTGTTTCATCTGAATATCCAGACAGCTGAAAATAATTGCTCTAAAAAACTTGGGTTTGTAACTTCTGGATTACAGATGGAACACTGCGTTTCATGCTTATTAAATTACTAAGTAATATGAACTGGACTAAGAAGGAAAAATTATAAAGTGGATTTCAGCAGCATAAGTATTCTAATAAAAAACTCAGAACTTTACAAAAAGGCTAATTTTTCCTTAGTGTATTTTGAACCTTTCCTGCCTTGGCTATGCACAGTACATTTCGTAGAAAAGCATTAAAATAATATTATGGTCTAAGCCCAAGGCAATGAGACACAAACATAAAATTCAACAACTTATTCATTTTATTTGAACTACCTGAAAAAATACTCACATTAGTTTGCAACAGTTCATCAATACGCTGTTGAGGTTTTACGCCACGTCTACTTCTTGTCAAGAGGTAGATTTTCTTTACTGATGGACATGCCCACAAAAGCTTCTCTATCATAATTTTACCGAGGAATCCTGTACCACCAGTTATGAATAGAGTCTTCTCAGCAAAGAACTCGCTTATAGACATCACATCTTTAGCTTCAGCCATTGCTGTTCCAATAAATCACTTGTGACTGAGCTTTAAAGGAATGCTTTGGAAGCTAGTGAAATTTTGTCTAGACACTGAGATCTTCTATTGACAAATCAGTGTACTGCCAAATCACCTGAAGTATAAACATAACACAATGTCTGAAAACTGTGGCCTCTAATGGTAAAGTAAGTTAGCATGCAGTCATAATCCAGTGACCAATATGCAGATTGGAAATGAAAAACCAGCATGTACACATACAAAATCCAGTACACTTTAACTTAAACTTTATACCTGCTGTAGGTAAAGTCTGTGGTTAGGTTAAAGTAAAGCAGTATTCAACTTACTTTGATTCAGAATTAACATTATTAGCAGGTACCCTGCCCTGATGATAAGTAAATCCCACTTTAACCCGAGAATGGATTTTACCACAATGATTTTGTTACCTCTGCATCCTGCGCCAATGACGCATAAAAATCCTTAATGTAATTTAATAATTCACAGCATGCGTTCTGTAGGATGCAAAGATCAATAGATTGAACCATGTGTTTTTGTAAAAATATCCTGTTCGTGTAATTTCTGTGGCAGTTGTAATGGGTTTTGTTTAAAGATGCATATTTCTTCAGCCTTTGTTGTGCTTTAAAATAGAATGACTATGTATTAATTTCAGTATAATGTAGTAAAGAGTCTTGGAGTCTGCCTTCAGATTAACTGTCTGGTTACATAAAGGCCCAAGCATAATTGGATTTGTTGTTTTCTTCACTGGGACGTTTTGCACATGGTTCTAGACTGGGAGTGGGGACTCATAATTTTTCACAAAATGCATCCCAGGACTCACCATAACTATTTGTAACAAAATCACTGTTACCAACAATATAAAATTACTGTCTCTACAAAAAAAAAACATGTTTTGATTCATCAACTTCCTAGTTTTCAAAAATGTTCTTGGTCAAGGGAAGTACCTGGTATTATTGTTTTATATCCTCCATTCCTTTCACAAAACATGCTTTCTCTGCCCAGGACAATATTCAAATTACTTATGCCTTTATTCTATTGTTTATTTTCTTAATTCAAATTAATCAATTGGAAGATTCTTTTACAGATTCTGTGTTCCGCATTCTGGACTCCGTGTCCGGATTCCATGTTTCAGGGCTGCCGGTTTACAGAGTGATAAGCACCAGCCTATCACGCGTCCAACACGAGATTTTTTGGCTCAGCGACCAAAACAATAAATTTTCTCACTCAGTTTCTAAGTTATGATGAACGTAAAATTTTCATTGTCGTTTTAGATGACTAAAGAAGAAGAAGAAGAAGAAGAAAAAGTACGGCAGAAAATGAAAGCTTCAAAAGGCTCGCAAATCAGTTAAATAAAGTGCTACATGATCAAATTTTGGCACGTGGACAGAAATACAGAACGCTCGACAAAACAATCATTGTAAAATTCTTAAAAGGTACCTATGGATATAAATCATGTTCAGTTTATTCTCAAGAAACAAGACAGCGAGACAGTAAGCTTATTCATGCTGCAAGCGCATGGTACATAAATTTCGCAACAGTCTGGGAACCCTGTTCAAAGATTATTGCTGCATGCCAAGCTTTCAAACATTCAATTAATTTTCTGTGTTAAACGACTGGTTTAACTAAATTTAATTATCCTTTCAGTGGCATGAGTTTCCTTATTAAAACCTACAAGCACATGTAAGAACTAGGCTTCAGCTACTGACCAAACAGCATGATTTCGTAACTAGTTCAACTCTGTCACACTCACCTGAGCACTCAGCGGAGCATTAATACGTGGTCAAAAAGACTTCTTAGCTTCTAAGTTTTCAACATTCCAAAAACTCAAACATTTTGCAGTTTGTAGAATGAGAAAGCAGTGCTCTCAGCCAATCTCCTGTGTAGCAATTTTTAAAAACAACAAATCCTTCAAGCCGTGAAGCTGCCCGCCCAAAGTCGTACCCATTCGCTATTATTTATGGGTTTTGGGGGTGAGAGAAGATTGGGGGCTAGATTGAGGCGCGCGGGAGGTCTCATGGGAACGGACGAAAAAATCGTCCGTTCCCGCGCGCCCCTCAACCTCCAATCTTCTCTCACCCCCTAAACCACAGGGTCCAGAGGAGATGTGTTTGTCGTTAGAACATCAAAACCCGTCGAAAACCTCAGAAAAAATGGGTTATTTTGATAGCGTTACAGTTTCGTTACTTATTCTATGTACCGCAAACCAAGAGACTGAGGGCTTGCAAGATCGGCTGACAGTACAGTATAAAATACGGAACTTGTCCTTTTTTTATTCGGCACTACATGCACGACGTCCCTCGGTCGTCCTTCGTGCCGTGCGCCAGCTTGCGGTTATTGATAAGATTTTCAAAATGGCGAACAACAAAGTCGATCGGGGTCAGTTAAGGGACCGGTCAAAAATTAGAGGGGGCGGGGGGAGGGCTGGTGCATTTTTATTTTGGCCTACCAGTTTTGGGGAGACCCTCCCCATTCCAGGTGCAGAAAAAATGTTGACCCCCCAAAATAGTTTGCAAAATTTATCATGGCCCCCCCCCACCCCACCCCTCCTCCTCCTCCAGAACAAAGGCTACCTGTATTGTAGCATAGCCCGCGAGTTTGCACGCAAGTTTGTCAAACTGTTTCATCATGACGGTCAAAGGCAGTATGATTCTCAGCAAAACATTTTCAAGTTTGAATCTCGACTAAAAAGTATCATGAGTAGCAGTAATCCAGCTGCAGCTGGGAAATTTTATGATGACAACTATGTCATCGTAAAATCTGATCAAATCATTATAAGGTCTAACATCAAAACCATGGTTGATCTTCAAAAGAATATACAACAGGAACACATGGATACTAAAGAACATCTAAACAGCCTTTTTGCTAAGAATGGAAATCTGAAACAAGGACAAGATTGTGCCAAGAGTTTTGATGAGCAAATGATAACTCAGTTGATNTCAACATTAAACATATCGTCAGCGGCGCTCCACTAAACCCAAAGGGCCTGGGTACTAACTTGAACGCAAATTTCCATGAAATTTTTCCTTGTTGTGAGATCGAAGTTTATGGAGTTTTAAAGGTTTTATTCCACTTTTCTATGAGGCGATGTAGGGCAAAGATCTGTTTTCAAAGTCCCTTCAAATGTTTAAGCTGTCCAAAGGAGCCGTGTCATTAGCCCTCCAGAATCATGGAATGGCTCATGGGGTAAGGTGTACTCAACCGGGTTAAATTTGTTTGCTTAAAATTTTCTCCCACTCTTTTTTTTCCGCGGTCATATTGGGTGCGGCTTGCAAGATAATTATGGAACAAGGAAGCTAAAGTAGTACGTGTTTACTTGATACTTTTTCAACAGACAGGAAATAGAATGGATTAAATACCGGCGCGAAGTCCGTTTGAATTTGACCTTTTGAAGGCGATTGCGCGTGTATGTCTGAGCTAGTTCATTTCAAATTGCGAAATTAGAATGCAACTGAAATATCCTGAACACAGCTGATGTGTTTACGTGAATAATATGTTTACTTTTTTTAAGAAAAGGGGCTATTTAACCAGCGACAAGTGACGATACAAAGCTTAAGCGTTATATACTTTTTTCTAGTTATACGTTTGTATAAGAACAGCTAACGGGGAATCAATCTGATCAATCAGCGAATTTCGATTCAATCAACGTCATCAATAAATTTTGTTGCTAATCAGTGCATTGTCTGTTATTCAAGTCTAATGTATAGCAAGGCTTACGGAGAAAGCCGTCACTTCGTGAGTGACTACCCACTTTAAATTTTGCAAGGTTTAGCTCTCTGAATTAAAAAAAAAAACAAAACAGCGGACTATTCGTTTACACATGTCGTCCATGGAGTGTGAGATTGAGAACAATAACAAATTTCACCTCCAAAAATAAATCTCTGTTTTTATGCAGACTATTTCCATTGTTTCCAACAATAAGTATGGCTGCTATGTTGTCTGTTTATTTATTCACTCATAGATAATTTTGTTTTTTTCGGGGGAGGAGAGGGCAGTTTCTTCATAATTGATATTTTTAGGACGGATTAATATAACAGACAGTGAGGTTGCTGAGCAATGCCAGTGACTCTAACAACAATGTCTGAAGATCTCAGAAATTTGATTTTAATGCCAAAGAAAATGATCATTTTACATTGGACATGTTTACTACAGCATTGAGCGCAGGGTTTGGATTGAAGGCTGTTCAGCAGCTAAGAAGGTTGATATGAAAGTATTCAGGAATCATGACCACAATACCCAGGGAGAAACCCAGTCCATGAACCTTGGGTCGATGAACAGCGCTAGATATATACCTCGACGCTTTGCGTCTCAGTATATAATATCCACAACCACTGAGTGTATTCACCTCCCTTTCGTGGGATAGTTGTGTACTATACCTACCTTGCAGTACAGGTACATGTGTATGAGACCACTTGACATGGTACCGTGCACTTGAGGCCCTTTACCCGTGATCTGCTTGGGGAGGGTCACCAAGCCTTGTTGGTATATTCTTCATCCAATATTTTGTCCACATATGAAATATGTGTTTTTTCAGCATAAAAGCTTACATTATGATATTGTATTACATTGTACATTGCCTTGTACACCTTTAATGCATGATAATGCTGTTTTTATAGCAACACCCTTAAATTTATCTGTGCAAACTATTAGATAAGCTAATGCAAGAGATCTCTATTTTCATATGGATAAAGAAAACTGAGTATTAACCATGAGTAGAGGTTTCTCTCTTTCCAGGCTTTTAATGTTTATGAAGTCATTTGTTGCATATCAGTTTTATGCAACTGGCATGTGACGCAAACAACTTTGTAAATGCTAAAAGCCATTCAAGAGAGAAACCTCTGCTCTTAATGCACACTGAGTGTATTTCTTTTAAGCAGGAACCAGTATCTGTAAAACAGGGTTCCAGGCAGTATGATCTTTCATGGCAACTTTATGAATGTCCTCTATATCTGTAATGTAAACTTGTTCCTTTTGCTGTTTATAGGAAGGGGAAGAAAAAGCCTGTTGAACCAGAAGTTAAAGAAGACAAACCATATTTAGAGGAACGCTATGTAAATAGTTTCATAAGGGAAATGTCAGAAATCCGAGAACTTGTGCCCCTTCCTCCAAGCATTGATCTGAATGAGTGGATTGCAACAAACAGTAAGTGATTAACCCTTTAAACCTTAAGATCAAAATTTGAATTCTCAATTGTCAGGGGCACCCAACGACAATTTTCAGAAAAATATCTGTTCTGAAGATGGTTTGAGATCTAGAGTTTTCGGAACATTTTTTGTAAAATTTCTTGCTTCCTGCCTCTCCTAGGATTTTTGAACATCTAAAATATGGTATAATTGCCCATTTATAACAGATTTTAACCCTTAAAAGGTCACCTAGAATTTTCGTAAGCCTTTTTTCTTGCTGAAATTTTCGAAAAGGTAAGTTTTGATCCCTATAATTTTCAGATCACTAGACTTTCAGCTAGGAAATCCGAACAGATGAAAAATTTTTAGGGGATAAAAATATGCCTGTATATACCGTTCAAATACTAAAATACCTTTAACAATGCTATGTTTAAGTGGTTTTCAACTATATTCTCGTTGGGTGCCCCTGAATTGTTGCCCCTACTCATTTCCTACAGAAGTATTGGGGAGAAGTTGATAAAATATCGAGCAGTTTCATCTTGTGTGATCATGTTCGTAATTCTCATGACCACTCTGTTTTACAAAGCATTGATGTTACAAGGAGAAATTTGATGCTGATCACTCTTAGGGCTTAAAGGGTTAAATAATGGGCTACAATTTTTGCTGATGTTTGCATGGTTCAGCAAGGTGATAGCTTGCTTGGTATGGGGTTTATAATATTACATATAAATGTTAGGCTAACTGCAAACTGAAGCAACAACTCCCAACATTGTTGGGTCAGCAATGTTTGGAATTGTTGTGTCCATGCTGGCAGTGGTATGCAAAGTGATGCAACAACTCCCAACATTGTTGGGTCAGTAATGTTTGGAATTATTGTGTCCATGCTGGCAGTGGTGTGCAAAGGGATGCAACAACTCCCAACATTGTTCAGTCAGCAATGTTTGGAATTGTTGTATCCATGCTGGCAGTAGTGTGCAAAGGGATGCAACAACTCCCAACATTGTTGGGTCAGCAATGTTTGGAATTGTTGTGTCCATGCTGGCAGTAGTGTGCAAAGAGATGCAACAACTCCCAACAGTATTTGGATCTGCAGTGCATCGTGGAAAGGATTATTACAACCCATAAGACTATTATTAGTAAGTAAAAAGAAATGTTGGGGGTTGTTGGTTCAAACGTTTGACAGGTTTCAAACTTTGCGAAACAACTCTTAACAACACACAACAACATACAACTGGGAGTTGTTCACCAACAATGTTGTATCCGTTTGTATGTGGCTTTATTTTTAGTCACATAATGTGAGCGCCTTGACCACCTAGTTAATCCACTGTATATTAGAGGGCCAGTGAAGGTATGCCGTGGCCAAGCAGCTAAAATCTCAAACTTGTATAGCACTGACAATCTGGGTTCAGGCCTTGTTATCTTGCTGTTTCCTCTGCCAAAAAAAATTTGCTCCACCGTGGAAGTTGCTACACGATAAAAGAGTTCAATCCCCACAGGATTTTCTTGGTGCACCATTATGGCCACTGTCACAGTGTTATCATTTGATGTGAAAATGATCTATGAATGGATCAAGGGACATACTCTGGGGGATAACCCTGTGTGATGAACTTGCATTTGTTGAAAAAGCCAGTATAAAATAATTATCGCTGCAAATTGTGAAATAATAATTTAAAATGACCATTAATATGTTGAATAATGATATTTGATTACAGCTTTGGCCTTTTTCAACCAAGTTGACTTGTTATATGGAAGTGTTAGTGAGAGATGCACTTCAACATCCTGTCCAACTATGTCAGCCCCAGGAGCTGTGTAAGTCAACATTTCATTTCTCCTGATACTATTCACACTTATAGCAAGCTTAACAGGGCATCAAATTGCACCTAATGTAGTGTACAGGCACTAGCGCACCAAAATTTCCCATTTTGGCAGTCAAATCCTGAAAATTAGTTTCCAAATTGACTACTAGAATTCTTCATTGCACCTTGTTTGAAGAGATTACAAGTATTTGAAAATGGTTAAATGTGTAAAATGGTCATCCAAATATCCCTGTTTTAAAGTGAAAGAGGTTGCAAATCCAAGGATCGATTTAGCTGACATTTAGACAGAAATTGTGCTCTCAAAACACTAGAAAAAGCATAAAGAGCATAAAGAGTTCAAAATTTTCTGGGGTAGCATGCCCCCTGCCCCTTGTATGGGCTCGCACCCTCAGTGCTCTCAGCATTTGTCGGTGATTGAAAAATGTCTTGATTTTACATACTGGTTGGACAGTCTGTGTGAGGTTCTAAGGTTTTTGCTTGGAAAAGGTTCCAATGGAATTTTCATTGAAATATTTTTTTTCAGAGTTTATTTGTGGCATGATGACAAAGGCAAAAAGATTACAAAGACAAATGTTTCAGCACCTCAGTATATTGACTACGTTATGTCATGTTCTCACAATTATCTGCATGATGATGCAGTGTTTCCTACAAAATATGGTGAGTTTAAAGGAAAAGGTGGTGGTGAGTTTAAGAAGACATGTAGAGAGCATATAATAGTAAAAACCTAGTGCAACAACAACATCAGAAAAACAAACAGGTTTATAAATGTTACTGAGCAAAACCACACTTCTGCATGTTTGTCACACTTTAATTAGTTACATTTCTTTTTTGTCACTGAATGCATGACTGTGATGTGAAATTAATCTACCCTTACCCTTGTATGGCTAAAATAACTTTCATTCTTAGCACAAGAGCAGCATGTCTTTCTTGCACTGACTTCAGGGGGTTAAATAAAGATTAATATACTTTGCACACTAAAGCAACTTTAACCTATGTGATTTAATTTTTCTGTTTATAATCTACATTTCATTAATTTTGTTTCAAGGTAGAAATTAACTTTAATTAGGTTTCTTTTAGATGGCACATTGTAGTCAAGTGCACTCTGGCTATAGGTGTACATGTTGTACATTATATGCATGTGTACCAGTGTATTCTAAATCTTTAAATTATCTTAATATGTTAATGAAATTCTTATGCAAATGCAATGTTATCCCTTGTACCATAAGAAGGAAGCATTATATGTGGAAAAATTTACAGAGAAAGCCTCTGTGGCAAGTTTTAAAATAACCAATTAATTATATTTTGTTTATTTTCCCCTGTAGGAATGACATTTCCACCAACTTTTATGACAACAGTGCGCAAGATTTTCAAACTTCTCTTTCATGTGCTGGCTCACATTTACTATGCTCATTTCAGTGATCTGTTAAATCATGAACTGCATTCTCACATTAACACTGTGTTAATGAACTTCATTTTATATCAGCAAGAATTTCACTTGCTTGACCCCAAGGAAACAGCACCATTAGATGACTTACTTCAAGCAATGGGCCTGATTAGTCAGAGTTAGTTTTATAAAATATGTCCTTTGGGTATGTATTTTTATCCAGATAAATTTGTGTGTTATTAATAGGGTATATTTTCTCAATATTTCTGGTGTTAATATTTGTGAACATTGAAATATGTATGACATTCATTGAAAAAATTTGCCTGGGTCAATTTTTAATTTAAAGTGTAATTTTTAGTGGTTAGTATTTTTAATTAACCCATTTACCCAGTTCAACAGTGACCAGCATTGGATTTGTCCTTAAAATGTCACTGATAAAAATATTATTAGCACAGGCATCCCAAGCTCTCGTTACAAGGGTGGAATGTAATTTCCAATGATGCAAGTGAGTCAGTATCACGTTACAACGTTGTATGAGAAATAAAATACCAAGGTCTGTGAACAATACATATTGTTATTTTTACCTTTCGATCAATAAACTAAATAAAGAAGATATATCTTCATTCTATTCTGTGTTTTTTGGTGTGAATTCATTGGTATACAACGTCTTAATGATTGTGTGTAATGCAATACCTACTTACTTGCATCAATGCCTGTAATTACTAGCATATAGGAGATGATAACCAAGTAGAAAAGGTCTTGATCATTAAACAAATTCTCCTCATCAATATCATAGAAAATGTATGAAAGACAGTGTGGAGAAAGTGCAGGCTGATATTAGGGCTTAAATCTTTAAGTCCCAAGAGTGATCAACATCAATTTTCTCCTGACAGACGGTATCAATACATAGTGATGATAAAAGGTTATGAGAATCAATGAAATGATCACCTCGGGGAAAATGCTTTGATCTTGAACAATTTCTCTCAACTAATTCTCTGAGGAAATGAATAGACATCAGTCTGGAGAATTTGTTTGTCAATATTGGGGCTTAAAGAAAATTAGGTTCAAACCTGATTCTAACAGAACATACATGTAGAGAACTGAAAAGAAGGATTATTTGTTTTTCATACAAGCTGATTGCATGCAGACCAAACCAGTAACCAAATAAAATAGAAATGCAATGCAAATGCAATGCCTGTAGCCAGTATACTCCAACCCCAAGGTGGTTGTCTTGTTAAAAAAGGGAACTTAAGCAACGACAGTGATGACAGCAGTGAAAATGTAACTAGAAAAATGAATTTGGGTTCTTTCAAATGTTATCGGGTCTATTTGGACATGCTCAGTATTTTTCCTGGACTTGAATTCTTAAGGACTTAATCCAGGTTTAAAGAGAGTCAAAGGAAAATTCTTTGTCGCATCTGACATATGTTCATGTCCTGTGTAAAGCGTTGCATCAGATTGTTAACATCGTAGTTATGCAGGGGAAGTCAAATAAAGGTACTAAAAAACGTGATGTACATCCAGTTGTTTAGCTCATAAAACCAATTGTTTTTTGTTGTCATCGTTTAAGTTCCCTAATGACTTTTCTTTTCACAAGTTTCTTGTGTGTGTGGCACAAGTTCTACATGCCATGTCATAATGAGTGTGCCTTGGTCACTTTCTAACCTGTTTCTCAGTTTCACTGGTTTGCATCGAGGTTATGCAATATAAGCTAGCTGTCATAAAGGCATTATTTATATTAATATTGATCATCAAAACATCGCTAGTAGAGTTCTAGTTTTTGTAGTTTAATTGCATCAGTCACTGAAGTCAAAAGTGCATTCATACAGTAAACACTGGTACCATCCACATAAAAATAAAAGAACCTGGCATTTTCTGATTCACACTGTTGCATTTCTTATATACACTGTGTAGGAGGGGGCATAGTGAGAAATCAGCTTGCCAAGTTTCAGCATGTCCTATGTAAGACTTGTCTTAAATGGCTCTGTTCTGTGCCAGTAGTGGTTCATACACCTACTTGGATATACCCCAACGTAGGATTGGGAGATTGCAACCTTTGGTTACCTTTCCTTTAAGAACCCGCTTCATTTGTCAGGCTGAATGGGCCTTTTGCACCCAGTCATTCACATGGTACGAAACCATTATGCTGGAGAGCAAGAGACATGCTGGAACAAGTCAAACTATCAAATGATCTGGACTCTTTGTTTGTCCCGTCCCAGTGTCCCTTAGGGCCTGTTTACATGAAGGTAGGCGACCCCAAATAGGTGAGGTAACATGTGGCGAGTCACCCCACAAATCATGTAAACGTGATCAAATTAAAATGAGAGATTATATGGACAGGCAGGTTACCCCATCTAAGCGGGTTACCTCACGTACCTGGGGTCCCCCACCTCCATGTAAACAGGCCCTTAGTCTCCAGCATGGCAGTTTTATAACACGAGAGTGACTATCTGCAAATGGCCTAATGGTTCTTTTAATTACACATTAGGGAGCTTAAGAATCTATTCAACAATGGTGACGGCCATGAAAACGTCACTTTAGAAGTGAATTCATGCTGCCTCAAACTCTATCGCGCTAATTCCATTAATTCGTCAAATGTTGACAATTTTTTTTGAAGTTGAATTCTAAAGGACTGTATCTATAAAGAAGGAAGTTGTTGTCTTAACTGTGTTTCCGCCCTCGACAAAACGTGAAATTAGGCACTTTTTGCATTGTATTCATGCAACAACAGCTAAGACCTGTACAAAAAGCGTTGTTGTTTCGCCAATCTAAACCTATTGGTTTTTTGCCATTCTTAATGCCGTCGCCATCATCGTTGCTTGAGCTCCCTATTTTTAAATTAAAACATTTTATTGGCCACATTTCAGTCTCGAGTTTCTTATATAAACTGCTGTTTTTTTCTGTGGGTGTTTACGGTATTGCAACTTCCAGCTTTAACAGATCTTAATAGTTTTCTTTCATATTGTGGTTCAGTTTTGTTTCCTTAAAGGACTCCTTGCATAAATAATTAATTATGAACACAAACTTTTAAGTTCCAAGATTTTGAAATACCTTAGCATTAGTACATGTATTAGATAAACTTTTGCACTTTCAAAGTCAGATGAGTTACACATGTACATCGATTAGTTGATGCAAACAATAAAAAGAGGAAAGCCTTTATGCCAAGAGTGATAGATGAGACACAGGCATCCCAAGTTCTGTGCATAAAGTAGCGCGAGTTCAGTATCAAAACCGGCAGAAATTTATACACCGAGCTTGGGCCGCCTGTGGATGACATAACACCTCTGTGTCTACAAGCTAAATTCAGTGACTGTCATAATCACAGATTTTGCTTGATTTTCTTTGATTTCCTTAAAATGAATTGTTTCTGACATATTTCCCTTCAGTAACAAAAATAGAAACAAAGTCGCCTTTTGTTTTCATATAAAAAATAAATTTTCTAATGCATACCAAATAGCCAGTGCCCACATAGGGTGACAGGGCTGGTAAAATGCCTCCCCCCCCCCCCCCCCCCCCCCCCCCGGGGGGGGGGGTTTTGGGGCCTGTTTTTTTTGGGGGTTTTCTTTTTCCCGACCTGACCCCCCCCGCCCCCCCCCCGTGTAGAGGAGTTTCACTTTTATTATAAAAAATCCACACCCACCAAAAAAAACAATTATATTTTTCTTGACGAAAAAGGGGAAGAGGACAACCTAATATTTGTTTTTGATATTTTACTCTATAAAAACAAAAAAAAAAAAACAGGTCCTCTTTTTTTCTAAAAAAAAAAAAATATTTTTAAACCACACAAAACACCCCGCGCCCCGACGGGGGGGGGGGCGGGTAAAAAACCCCCCCCCCCCCCCCCCCCCACAACTCCTGAGGGTGTGGTTTTGAGGGTCCTGTATCTTCGGGCGCTTTCCATTTGCCAGAACTGACCGGCCAGGCCACTCCCGTGGTAATGAGACTTTCACTTTTAATCAAAACTATCCAGCCAGATCAGACAAATCCTTTATAGTTTGCACGAAGGAGATGGTTTTTCAGCAAAAACCCTTTGGAAAAAGCCAATTTCATTTGCTAACTGACTGGTCCAGCCGGCGAGTTCTAACAAATGGCATGGTGTCTTTTTGGACCAGAAAAGAGTGTGAAGGTTGGTGATCAGCTGGCTTTGTATGCGTTTGGTAACAACGTCTTTTCAAAAAATCTATTTTCATGTTGCTAATTCAAAACTAACTTAATTCTGTGCTCGAAAGACGAATCAGGGTCATAAAATAATACTGGTCCCTTTGTTTCATTTGCTGTACTCACTCGTGAAATACTTTTTCAACAGTCGAAGAGGAAATTTCGTATCTCCGCGCGGTCATGTAATATCCTCTCTATACACCACCATGGAAAACAAAACAAATAATTTTAATGCATTTACGTATAATTTACTATTATAAGTTTTCTGAACACAACGATAATATATTTTACAAAAAGATGCAAGTGTTTTACAAGTCTGTAAAAGTTTTCACAAAAGTTATAGCAAACTATATGTTTTATGTTCTGAACTTTGAGTTCAAGAATTATTATTTTTTCTAATTATTGCCAAAGAGAAGACCCCGGGGATACTTCCATATATGGGGTAGATAGGTATGTGCCGCCTAATAAGGTTGCCATTGTTAACGCGTCATAATCCTAGTGTTATCCTTAGATAGGATATCGTTTTTATATTAGCTAACATTCCACTGCGTAAATGTCCAGATACACGAGAAAGAAATTATCTGTTAGCTGAACTTTACCTTAGAGTATAAGGAAAGCGATTAAGGAAGATTTTTGTGTCTCCGATAAATTCTTAGTTTCTGTTTCATCCTTAAAATGGATCTCATTTTTCAGGTTTGGGCCTGAAAATGGACTCCGTTTTCGTTTGTCTCATCCTTAAATAGGATCAGGGTTTAAGCCCCCGGGCGGCACACACCTATCCAAAATTTTTGGGAGTACCCTCCCCTCTCCCGCCGGGGAAGACGACCACTATATCCTCTCCAGCAACGTTGACTTCGTTTTCATTTTCCGAAATGTATACGTATATGAATACTATACAGAAATCAATTTCTTTGTAACGTGGGTACAGAAAAGGTCTTCTTTTCTGCCAATTGCCATTAAATTTCGCCTTGTGAAACTGCAATCCAGGAATGCCTCGGCTTCCATAATGAATTTCTTTCCTTCTT